GGAACCGTAGACCTGGGCCATGAGCCGCCATGAAAGGAACGAGTTCAGGGCTGAGCACCTGGTCGCGGTAAGCAGCAGCTGTGAGGTTTCCACGGATGACCAGAAGTCGGGAACGGTTGTTCCCACAGAAAGCACCCCACACCATGCGACTTCCGCCCCCGAATCTGTCGACTTCCTGTACACAACATTGGGCGTTCACGACGTCGTCTCCAGACTCAATGCCTGCCGTCCGCGAATCTGAGGGTAAGCCTGGATTCATCGCTAAAGACGACTTGATTCCAGTCTCTCTGGGTCCATCGGAGGTGACGTTGGGCCCACAGCAGACGTTGACGTTGATGAAACGGCGTCAATATTGGCCCACGATATGGACGTCGAGAATGGAGATTGGCAGCCCGCAACCGATTTCGAATGGTCTGTGAGGACAGTTGACCTCTAAACATCGCAGCCCTGGTTCATGTAGCCGGCAGAAATCTGTCACGTAGGTGACGTAGGACGATTTGACGGTCTTCTGCTCGTGACGTCACACGTGGACGACCCGACCTTGGGCGATCAGAAGTGGTGCCAGTTTGTTGTAGACGACCTCGCAAGTCATACACAGTACGACGGCTGCATCCCATTGCTCTTGCGACGTCAATAACTGATTTTCCCGCTTGCAACATGCCAACGGCACGTTCACGTGCACATTTGACAATCGTGGCATTTCAAGTCAAGTACCGTTAGAACTGTGGTTTAAAAAGTGTTTTTTCAATTCTTGAGGCCAATGCAAACACGTGCATATGAAGAAAACTTTGATGGGAAGATCACGTGATCGACTGCATGTGCAAAACCTGATTTGGCACTAACGTCATTTGCACGACGAATGGATGGGTTTGAGTGGGTTTTGCTTACGTTTTTCTAGAGTCGAAAGATAGGGATCCCATTTCGTATACATAGATGTATCATCAGAGAAAAATTATTCATTATTTTTCAAATTACATTTTGTGAAGTTTCTTTTTTGACTCAGTATATATAGATAGATAGATAGAGGGGGGGGGGGGCGTGCGTGCGTGCGTGCGTGAGTCTTTGTTCTTAGCAGTCAGTGGGTCATTGCACAATCATTCGCTGACCTCAAGACGACTTACAGAAACATCACTTTAATTTAAAATATATCTTTATATCAATGTTCAAGGACATGAAAAACCATTTAAACGGGTATTATTAAAATATTTTATTAGTGCCTTTTGTTTACATGAAATACATAGCAAATCATATATACGAGATATATTGGATACTTATCACTGCGCATAACCGGAAATAGTTATTTAGGTAGTTAGTGCAAGATGCATTTAGTACCAGAGAATACCCCTCATCCATACGGATGGTAAAGCTTGCGGCCATCGATAAGTTCTGAGCCTTACAGTGAGTGAATATGGTTTTACATCGCCTTTAGCATATATACTATGTGTATCCACAACCAAATGGTTCAACGTTACACAGTATTATCCATGTGGGGGTTCGAACCACAGGGGTTCGAATCACTGTTTTGACAATAATTTTGAAAAATAAAATTTAGATTTTTGCAACCGTATATTGTTTTTATATGTTATGAGTTATCTTAGAATTTGTTTGAGTGGCATTTTAGAAGTTGAGACGTACAATATAGAACAAGTTTTATGGATAACAACTTCTTTATTTCGTGAGTGCGACGTTTCGATACAGATTCTTGTACCGTTGTCAAGCAAGAGTGATACATGAAGTGTAGGAGCTGCATATATATACTGTATATAACAATGAAACAACATAATAGACAAAGGAAACAACATAATTGCCATGATTGGCTAAGCAGTAAGCTGAAGAAGCCAGTGAGTACACAAAGGATAGTGAATGGAAGCCAGAGATGTAGTTACAATGAGATGTGTGAACAATAGATGCGATGTTTATACAATAGATTGGGCTTGGTGGAGGAGTGGATCATAAGCTGATGGAATGAAGTATCCTTGGTCGCGGTTGATGGTGGGCTTGTGGCGTTTGATGTGAATGGCTTCTGTGAGCTTGCGTTTAGTGAAGTCCGTTTGGTTGTTGGCGAGAATGGTGATGTCGGACCACTCTATTTGATGATTGGGGTTAGCTTTGATGTGGTCAGAGATAGCTGACTTGGTGTCGGAATTAGCAACAGAGGTGCGATGTTCTTTGACTCGGGTGTTGATGGATTGGGATGTTTCACCTATGTAGCATTGTCCACAATCACATTTTATTTTGTAAATAACACATTTCGGGTTGTTGTTGTTGACGGTGGGTTGTTTTCTTCCGTTGGCAAGCTCACAGAAGCCATTCACATCAAACGCCACAAGCCCACCATCAACCGCGACCAAGGATACTTCATTCCATCAGCTTATGATCCACTCCTCCACCAAGCCCAATCTATTGTATAAACATCACATCTATTGTTCACACATCTCATTGTAACTACATCTCTGGCTTCCATTCACTATCCTTTGTGTACTCACTGGCTTCTTCAGCTTACTGCTTAGCCAATCATGGCAATTATGTTGTTTCCTTTGTCTATTATGTTGTTTCATTGTTATATACAGTATATATATGCAGCTCCTACACTTCATGTATCACTCTTGCTTGACAACGGTACAAGAATCTGTATCGAAACGTCGCACTCACGAAATAAAGAAGTTGTTATCCATAAAACTTGTTCTATATTATCTTAGAATTTGTTTTTTAGAAAATTCTCCCGCTACACTCATTACAGAATACACTGTATTTTATGTGATGAGTGTAGCGGGAGAATTATCTCAAAAATCCATCATTTCACCGATTTCGTTCAAATTTGAAATATCAGTTACTCATAGCATAAAAAAACAATATACGGTTGCAAAAATTTAGATTTTTAGTTTGAAAAATTATTGTCCGAACTGTGATTCGAACCCCTGTGGTAAAAACCCTCGAAGGTGTCAGTACATAGGTTTGACCTTCAGGGAGGCTGATGATAGGATAATTCCAAATTCACTGATCCTGCATTACAATATCATAGAATATGGTTCTTGAATCGATCATCATGAAAAGGTAATCCATTCCGTGTACAACTTCGAACCAATACGGTAAGGCTCAAAGCTGACAGAGTTGGTCGTCCTTGGATTATCGTCAGTGATTTGAGAATATGTTTATATCTTAGGAAATTGTTATCATTATTTTCACTATATGAACTATAAGAGATCAGTATTTCTGACATACGAACTTAACCACCGGACAAAAGAAGAAAAACACCTATATTTGATGGCGACTATATAGGAAACAAACATGACATGGTTATTCGATGCATTCGTAACTACTACTTTCCGTGACCTACCAGTTTGCCGGAATGACAGGAGTACATGTAGTTACGAATGCATTCGATGGTGATGAATGAGATCATAGCTGTATTTATTTGGCCACTTAACTTTGCAGCGTTTGTTTTCTTTTGTCCTGCAGTTTTTTTGCAGTAGTAATTCAGCTGTATGACAAGTAGAAGTATAGTCATGGGCATATTTAGACATGATCATCAGCTGCCGCTGCCGAACCTCTGCTTATCATCTAACATACGCATCCTATGGACCTGATAGAATGGATACGTCCACATACAATCTAGTTTCAATACAGTATGTACACATCTAATATGATACAAAGAAGCGAATGTGTTGGGGTTTTTTTTATTCTTTTCAGATCTACGACCTTTTTTAACTTCCCAAGTGTTGAAATGTTGCATAAACACCCGCAAATTTGAAAGCATAATATTTCCCCTTTGTATATGTTTATCTTACCTCACACATAAATGTTGCTTTCTAACTGGCTGAGCGCTCTTCTATTATTTTCAATGTACCCCGCTGTCAATGGCAACTCATTTGGTACTTCGTGGTAGGAATTCTTTATCTCGAATAACATTGAATCACGTACATGATGTACGGAAATTACCGATGTTTTACGAATGCATATCGATGGAAGGGAGATAACTCTAAATTTGTTCTTCTTGTCAGCAAAATCTAGCGATGGCTACAAAACGATTTTTGTACCTGTGTTTCAAACAATTCAAAGTTAACATTAAAGTGAGCCCGAAGGGTAAGGGGAACATAAAATAACATCGAGGGTACATCAACCCATGGGCCCCAAGGGCCAGTGAACAACGTATTTATCTTACCACCTTAATGTTAATTTTGAATTGTTTGAAGCACGGGTACAAATCTTTTTGTAGCCATCGCTAGATTTTGCTGACAAGAAAAACATTTGGGCTCAGGGAACATAAACAAACATCGAGGGTACATCACCACATGCGCCCCCCCCCCTCGTGACCAGTAAACAATTTATAATGTTCATTTTGGCAGGTCTAACGAAGACCATCAATCCAAGCGTGTATTGAAAATAACAATCGTGCCACTGTAGATTAAATACCTCTTATAATTTGGAAAAGTAGCGCCAGGTTTCAAATATTTAAAAAAACAGTAGGTGTTTTCACATTCAAACCTGGCAAAATATAAACTCTTTGATGTCAGGAAGATATTGAAGAGGCACTGGCTGAGTCCGATGTTTTGACAGGGATTTCAATCTAAAATAAGGAAGCACTATCAGCCGTATATCAACAGTTATGTTGTCTTCTGGACATATTTTCGAGCACAATTGTAGATTAATCATTGAAAGTTTGTAGCACGGCCACTTCGTCCGTCAAAATGAAGAAACAACACCTAAAGGAAAGTAGCAAGCCTCGCAAGTTTGGTTCTACACAACAGGGCCTAGATTTTCGACGCTCTCTTAGCGCTAAGATAGTCGTAAGTGTCATACATTAATATTAACTTACGACTATCTTAGCGATAAGAGAACTTCGAAAATCTAAGCCCAGGTGATTATGACGTCACACGACCGCTGTGACTCAGAAGATATGACGTCGGCTACAGATGCGCCAATTCAAAGTAACACCCGAAATACGATCTTTCCGTCGATTTCTACCTTTTTTTCAGATGCAAATGATTCGTCACACTTACGTGAATATTGCGCCGAAAGCATTTTACAATCGTGCATGCTTTCGGCGCGAAGAGACATAAGAAATAGGCTTCACGCTTTGTACCCATGTGGGGAATTACATTAAAAAGGAAATACACCATGTTCACTACTTGTTCCTCTTAACTCTTGAAAACAATGCTCCGGCATTTCGTAGCCATGAAGGTCTTCTTCTGGACTTAATAACTGAAATGAGGGAAAACAAATCAAGGATTACAAAATATGTACCACAGTTTTTTAGTCTTATGTTAAAGATTCCTAAAAGAAGATTACGTGGGGGTTTTATTTGAGAAAATACACCACCAAGTATGACATGCATTACCCACTTTGTCTGAACAAATTAGAGGACTCCCAACATAGTAGCTGCTATAAACAGAATAGAATAGATTCCATGGAAACATCTCCCAAAAGGTCACAAACGACACCAGTCTACAGAATAACTGTTTAATTACACTGCGGCATATTCGTAACGATACAGACGTGATTAAAGATGTCTGTATGCAGAATTTTCGGGAATCTACAAATTAGGGTCGTTAATAAATGAGGGCTCAAAGGTCGACAGCGTTAATTTATGCAAAATTTAAAGCGTTGTAAAATAAATATTTCTCCTTCAGGTTACAAAACTTGTGTTATTGTATTTATTGAAAATGCCGGCCGTACACCCTTAACACATACGACGAAAACGCAAATTGTATCAATTGTTTTCATTTGTTAGACACTGAAAAGTTTTCAAAGGCATAATCCTGTTACCGGGTGATAAGACAATTCATGAAAAAAAGTAAATTTCCCAGGTGTAACGGGAGTTTCAAAAAGAGCTCTTGCGGTATTTGTTTTCTTCAATACGAGATGCAGAGTATTGTCCCGGGATAGTATCATGTACCTACCTCTGTGGTCATAACTGTGACTTTCCTTTATTTTCCTCTTAGATCCCTGGTGATCAGCCTGAACAAAGTACATGCTCGGGTGAGTCGGACCTACGCCACCAGCTTGGAGGTCCTGGGGTGGCCACACAACAGACGGATCTGTCACAGTGTCCAATGGATCAGGGAAGCTGTCACGAGAAAATGGCGAGATTTGGTTCACATCCGGGGAACTTACTGACGGAGCAAACGTGCCCATGACAGGATATCCCGAGGAGGGTTCACCAGCGTATCTGCCTCTACCATCTTTGTGTTTGGAGCTGACGGCGTAAATGTCGTTGGAAAAGTAGTATTGTTGGACTGGATGAGTGTTGATGGGGATGTTGTCGTTTGGGACTTGGGGCTGAGAGATACTGGAGACGAACACGGCCTCATCCTGCTCCATCGGCGGCGTGTATGCCCTGTGAGGAGTTTTGGTGTGATGTCCTGTCACTACCGGAAGGAGTCGGCCCGGTAAATCCCTGTGAGAATAAAACAGGTGAGTGAACGAGTGAGCATCGCTTTACCCCCATAACCATCGAGGTTATATAGCCACATACGGGCTTCACACATTGTACCTCATCCTCTGTTAGTCATGTATATTATATAGTGAGTGAGTGAGTTTGGTTTTACGCCGCGTTTAGCAATATTCCAGCAATATCACGGCGGGGGCTTCACACATGGGCTTCACACATTGTACCCTTGTGGGGAATCGAACCCGGGTCTATGTCGTGACCGGCGAACGCTTTAACTACTAGGCTACCCCACTGCCCCCTGTGTATTATATCTCCATGTTATAATGGTCAATGTCTCAAAGCAAAGCCAAGATGACAAATGTGACCAGAGCATTTATCTTTCCTCACACATAAATGTCGTTTTCTGATTGGCTGAGCGCTCTTCTATTATTTTCAATGTACCCCGCTTACAAGCGAGTAATATTTTCTATGTACCCCGCTGGGAATGCCGAACTCATTTTGTAGTAATTCTTTATCTCGAATAACATTGAATCACGTGTGATGTACGGAAATGACCGATGTTTTGCGAATGCAAATTGATGGAAGGGAGATAACTCTAAATTTGTTTTTCTTGTCGTCTGGTACTCCATACTAGGATCCGATACCCGTGCTTCAAACACTTCAAAATTACCATTGAGGTGTTCGGTGAGATAAATACGTTGTTCACTGGTCCCTCGGGGCCCATGGGTTGATGTACCCTCGATGTTTCTTTATGTTCCCCTCTACCCTTCGGTACATCAGCCCATGTCCCCCCAAGTGACCAGTGAACAACTTATAATATCATAATAAAATGTAGGCTATAACACACAGGGATCACTGTACCAATGTTTGTTTACCAAATAGAATTGGGTATTCGACGTCATATATTGTACTTCAATGTGTCTATTTTCTTCACAACAATCATTTCATTTTGAAAGCAACAGAGGTGTATTCGTGAGTGGTCAGATAGTATAAGATTTGTCATAAAGTGTACATGTCTGTGATGCATGGAAGAGGTTAGATGGCCAAACAAACAAGGCAGGCATTTAACAATAAGTAGGATGACATGTACTTACTTTATAGCTGTTCCGTCCAAGGAAAGAGTGTTATGGTTACAGGACCGATTTTCAATATTTCACTTTGTACGTTTTCATATCATCATCATAATCATCGGAATGTTTATTTTCGCTATTCATGCATCTTTATGAAAATGCATTTTACGCTTTCTGTGAAATTTATTGAAACCTCTAGTTCTCCGGTAAATGTATTTCTGCCGTAAAGTGCTGAATCCCCTCAAAGATTGTTTGTGGCACGAAACTCTTAGCAAAATGAATAATATGTCTAGGGAAGGACATGATTAATTATTGCATACAGCTAACAAAATCTTCATACAGGTTACAAAATCTTGTTTTCCTGAAATAAAATAACGGGTAAGAGAAACGATACCAAGTCGAAATTACTGATATTTCAAAACGACAAACCACCATTGTGAAAAAGGAAAGTGAATGGGCATCGTATCGTTTCTTTTGCCCGTTACTTTACTAATTTACAACCTCGTAAGACTAGAACTCATCTACACATTGTACTTGAAATGTTCATGAACGCAGACTTGTTCTCGTCACTATATGGCTGAAATAATGCCGATGTGACGTAAAGCCCAACTCAACTACAACCTCGTAATGGGGAAGATAACAAAATGGAGATTTTATGAGTGCTTTCTTTACCTCCGTTGTTGGTTGTAGCGATACCCATCCAGATTAAGTTTTGTTTGTTGTTTAAAGCCGCGTTCCTCAATATTACAGCAAAATGCCGGAGATCCATAATAAACTAAGTGAAAGGCTGCTGTCTAACGTCCCGAATACTTCAAGTATTTCCAAAACGAAGAGTTGACTTATTATGAAACTTAGGGGTAATGTTAATTTATGAACTGAAGTGAGTAAACGTGCTTTCACGGCGCTTTCCACGCCTCGTTTCCAGTAGTACATGAGACACACTTTACTTTGACAAAGAGGCCGTCGAGTTACGTCCCTTAGTCGGATCAGAACCCTGTGATTATGGTTTTGAATCCAAGAACGGACCCGATAACGGTTCTTTGTGAACATCCCCGTTGTCCGTCGGTTTCATGTGGTGTAACCGGCATCATTTCGAGGTTTTCTCCTCGATCGCTGTGACATCACTGAAATACTGTTCAAACCGGCGTTTAACTCAACTCACTAACTATTTCACCACTTCCGTTACACACAGGAAACGCTTGAGTAGTAATTTTATATATTCTCACTGTTTACCGTCAGGACAGTATGTAGTATATATCAAAATGCGGCCGTTATTGTTAAATATATGCCAAACGGGATTTATCATTGTCCTTTATGAAGCAGGTTCAATATTTACAGAATTAACGAGCAATACCAGGCATCCAAGAACTATTTGTATTAAGGTGGATTCTACTATGAGCTGGCCAATACTCACCCGACAGTTCGTATTTCCTCATCAATGAAATCAGTCGACTGTGTTCATCGACTGTAGTAGTCTGTGCTAGACTGTCCGAATTTATTCTGTGCTTCCCATGTTGTGCCCTCCCTTAATTTTCATTCCGACGTGAAAAGGTAGTAAGTTTTCTCATCTCAATTCCACCCCACCCGCCCGTTGCTATTTATCCCCCCATCCTTTGCCATTTATATCTTGACGTGGTAGAACAAATTACTCTCACCTTGCACACGCATAAGAAAATCAGGTCAGCTTCATCTTTTTTTCATTTACATTTATAAAAACATTGTTTCCGAAGGAAATTGAGTCAGTCTACCTCATAAGTTAATCTATTACCAAGTGACAAATATTTATTTTATTTGTCATTTGTGCCCACCCCCTCTATTGCTGGTTAAAGTGGGAGACGAGAAGCACTTAAACCATATACGTATGTCCGACAAGCCTGGCGCAAAGCTCACACTGGAACCGTCACTATTGCCAAGGAATCGCCATATAGCGAGCCGTCCTTTTAGCTAAAGCTGTCGTTACAAATGACTAATGGAATCACCATTCTTAAAAATTGCTTCCACTCATTTTTACTTTGTTGACATGTTAGAGCGACTTTATTAAACGTGTGTCTTCAGGCAAAAGCGTGCAACTTAATTTAAGAAGAAAATGACACCCGGTGTTTAGCTGAAGGTGTCTGCCAGGTAAGTGTGACTGTGCAGAAAAGCGTTTATATATACAAACATGCAACAAAAAACATAAACCAATGTTAAATTAGTTTTATTTAAGCAGTGTGGGTGAGGCATACATAAATATATAGGTTATGAATTAAATAAAATACACTGATGGGTTACTAGAAAATAAATATATGTGCAATAATAAAAAACACAATGCTAAGTGGTAACATATGCAGAGTACCGCATTGCCATGGTAATGCATCTATTGATGCCATGGATGGTTCCACAAACGAATGAGACAAGGTCGAACTGGTGCAGTCTTTATCACACATCACATGGCGAACAAAGATACTGTATATTCGACTTGTCGTTTGCAAATATATAAATATAAATATTAATCATCAATTTCTTCGGATACCCCAACATCTTTGGATATCGCAACCATGAAATAAATACCAAAAATAATGTTCACTACGATAGGTCCATTGTGATCATCTTCAGACTTGTGAAATAGACGCTGTCTGATGACGTCTCAACACGTGTACAGTGCGTGCACAGTTCATGAAAGACACGGGATACAATCCTTTTCACCTGATGTTTTAACCTCACCCAACTGTGTTATATCACAATTACAAATCACATTATGTAAAACTCTTGACACGTTTGGTGAAATATTTACATTTTAGTTTAACTCGTCATTGCCTTCGGAGCAACTCACTCACTCTATGCTGTTGCGTGACATGAAATAATCCTACAGCAATAAATTATCAAAATAATTGGGAAAATTGGCACAATATCTGCATCTTATTTATATATCAAGGCATTATATAATACATTCTCGAGATATACGTACAGATAATTCTAATACTGCCAAATATCAGTTTATCATCAAATATTAAAATGAAGGTACGACAATTCGAATATAAAAATACATAAATATCAAATGCATAAATGATAAAGAATCTTGATCGATGACACAATACTGGGTTGATATTTTGAAAATCAAGGATTGCCAGAGTTATATTCTTGTAAGTTTTGGAATGTATCTATTCAACTGTAACTGCACTCCGAATTATCCTTTGTAGTGGTACAGGGTAGTGTAGCATAGTGGTTGAAGCGTTCGCTCGTCATGCTAAAGGCCCGTGTTCGAATGCATATGGCTACGATGCGTGAAGCACTGAAGATACAAGGTGCCTTAGCTTGTGACACAACTTATTAAGTGAACTTTATATCATGGAAATATCGCAACATCTATTCATTAAGACAATGGCAATAGTATGGTATGTATTATCTCCCTTTAATCATTTATCGACGATCCAAGCAGTATTCATCTGACGTAACATACTGCGGGAATCTGGGAGTTACAGTTACCATGGCTTTCGTTCGGATTACAAGTGGCTGGATTACCAATCATGTATCGCGTAGAAAATATCTCTAGAGGGAATCCCATCAGAAATAATCTGGTATGTGGAGTGTCCGGTTTAAAGGGATCCGTATGAACGGGGCGTAGCTGATTATATATTTGCTTTATAGGATTCTATCGGGTTCCACTCATCTAGGCCGCACTGACAAGATGGGGTTTTGTAAAGCTCTGTATTTGAGAAATTCCAGCTTAGGTACATAGTCAGACTCCTGTAACGGCACCTGTGTTTCCTCCTTGCTGGAAAGAAAATAGTTCGACGTAATATCCGAGGCCCTGTCATGGTTATAAGTTATTGTGCGCAAAGTGGATTATTAAGTTGCAAGTGAAGCAGTGGAAGATGAGAGTAAGAGCACGAGACAAGCTCCCTTTCAGTCAGATCATTACTTGTGTTCCTGTTTATTTCTACTTACGACAGTCTTAGTGCAAGCCAGGCGCCTTCACGGGGTGCGACTAGCTGTGAAGAGTTGCGTCCCTTGCTGCCATAGCTCTTTTCAATGGCTGACTTCGACACAACGTTTGCCGTTATCCAATGATATGACAAACGCTATCGTAGCTTTGAGAAAAGTTGTCAAGACTATCTACCTTGTTTAACATGCTTGGTTGGCGTCACACAAGTTGAAAACGACCTTAAGCTGAAACGCTAAGAACTGATACTGTTCTTACAAACAGATGAAACCTGGATTTGGACCAACCATCATCGGATCCAGACACGTCAAAGGGGAGGAGGTCTGCACTGGGAATCGCAGCGCTTCATACCACTCAACACCACCCAGATACTTGAAATAATGAAACAGAGGGTAGATGTGTACATGTACGCCCTGGGTTCAAACCATCCCCTTTCATGAAAAGGTATAATATGAATATAAGATATTCATATTTTAAAATGCATGGCATTGAAATATGAAAAAGGGAAAGTACCAACCTTGAGTTTCACCTGAGAAGTCACAAAGGGGTCACGGTAAAAAATCCGAACTGTCTTTTTCAGTGTAACATTAATTTTTAAGGAGAAATGACTGACGTCATCGCACTAAAACAAACACGATACATTAAAACCAGGAGGAACGTAATGACAGACAATTCCAAAAGCATAGTGTCACTTGAGGGTTTCAGTATTGCTTCAAACATCGAAAGCGACCGACCATTTTATCTTCGGAGGATAGTAATAATTAGAAAGAGGGTAACTTTAATTAAAAACACCTTTTTAAGAATAAAAATATATACGGCACATTCTGTCCTTCCCGTGGAGATAAAATGGCCGGCCCTTAGCAGCTGTGGTATATATAAAGCAACGGATATAACATCATATACATATACATGTCAAGTAGCATGCAAATTACTGTGAAAGTAATCTAACTAATGTATCCCTGCCAGTACAATACGTCTTTAGGGAACTAGTTCCCTTAGCAATGAAGCAAGATCGAAATGATATGATTTGACATTCACATTAAAAACATGCTTCAAAGAAAATTTCATCAATGTCGACTGAGTTACGGTGAAGTGTTGTTTTTGAGAAAACGATTTACGTCAAGCGAAAAAAAGCATAAACCAGGCTCGGTTTGTTCTTTTGAAATATTTGATTGGTCAGGGCAAGTAAAGAAATAAATTGGGTTGCTACTTTCACAGTTTAACAGAAGAGGCATTGTGCAAATGCAGTGATAGAGTCAATATTAACAAAAGCCCATTGTGTCTATAGTTTCTATTAGTCAATTTTCAAACTTGCACTGACTTTCTGTGTTGTCTCGACGATATCCCTTGAGACGATATCCCCTAGAGACGATATCCCTCTAGAGACGATACCCCCCCTTGAGTCGATATCCCCCCTGCTTACGTGCAGATTGAAGTGAGGGCTGCGTTTTTGAAACGCGGTACCAGTCTGACTGTGTGTGTCAACGTGCCAGATCTGATTCGATGTTCACGCTATCAACCACCGGTTTATCTAGTCCAGGGATGATAATATACAGGTCGAGACTATTGAGCTGGATTACAGTTGGCTGCGACGCCAAACATCATTCTCTTAAGGATACATTCCTTCAAAGCACGAGGTTAACAACATCTTCTATAAATAAACTCATGTCCAAAAGAAACGATACCAAATATTGTTTTCAATATTTTTAAATGAATGATACTTTTTGGAGAGAAAACATATTTCTGTGTATCCCACGTTCCTAACCAAACGTATTCGATCGAAAAAAACCGGTAACATTTATTCACTTAAGAAGCAATCGCACGAATACTCAAAATGACGTTAAGTCGTGTAGCACGAAATGCACGTGCAGATGAACTGTATAAAACCGCTGGTCCGACACGTTGTGCCCACAGCAGTAAAAAGCACACAAAAGAAATGGCACGTTTGACAGCGATCGAGAGAGAAAGAGCCGTTGGAATGGTCCGACAGGGAGCATCACACGCCGCTGTAGCAAGAACGTTTGGATGCGCGCGCATAACCGTTACCAGGTTAATGCAACGGTTGCGTCAAACAGGCCGAACAACAGACAGGCCGAGAAGCGGGAGACCCCGGGTGACCACGCCTATTCAAGACAACCACATCCGGTTACTTCACCTAAGTAACCGCTTCGTTCCTGCGACGTTAACGGCGGTGACGGGACTGGGACACCGGATCAGTCGACAAACCGTCTACATGAGACTGCAGGCACATGGTATCCGTGCATGTCGCCCCTACCGCGGAGTCTACCTGACACGTCAAAACAGAGTCAACCGATTGATATGGGCCAGGCGTGTTCGGCGGTGGCAACGTCGAAACTGGGCACGTGTCTTGTTTTCGGACGAAAGCCGGTTTTGCCTTTACAAGAACGATGGTCGGGAGCGAGTATACCGAAGAGTTCGTGAACGTTTGGCGCCGAACTGCATCCAGCAAGTCCATGCATTTGGAGGCGGGGGTGTAATGGTGTGGGGAGGTATCTGCGGTGATGTGAAAACGAGGCTCGTCATTATTCGGGGGAACCTGAATGCACAGCGTTACCAGGATGAGGTTTTACGACCAGTCGTGCAGCCATTCGCCCAACAGCATCCAGGAGGAATCGTGTTCAAGCACGATAACGCTAGGCCTCATACGGCAAGATTGACCCAGAACTTCCTTGCCAACGCCAACATACAGGTTTTGCCATGGCCAGCGTGTTCACCGGATTTGAATCCCATTGAGCACATATGGGATCACCTCAATTGGAAAATCAGTAAACGCCCTGCGCCCCCAGCCAACCTCCAACAATTGGAACATTGTCTCCAGGATGATTGGCAGCGAATCACCCCTAACGTCATCCGACGTTTGACGTCATCAGCTTGGAGGCGTGTCAAGGCATGTATCGCAGCTGCTGGTGGACATACCCGGTACTAAAGTGGCGTTAAGACTGTTTTCAGAGACTACCCTCACTAGCCTCCTCCACTGTGCTAAAATGAAATTTCAATTTTGGGCACCACAGTTCGTTTAAAGCCCTGTGTTAATGATTGTAAATCTTTGATTGCCATGACTTTGTGTACACATGCCGTAAAATCATTTATCTAATGAAAGATATCAATTTGAAATGGCTATGTTGTTTTGTTTTAAGTTAGTGATCTTTGAAACACGTGGTATCGTTTCTTTTGGACACTAGTTTATTTGTAAATCCACCTCCTCCTGACTCAGTAATACAAGTAGTCTACAGACTGAAATGAGCTTTTTGTATGTACAACACGGATACAGGTATACAAAACCATCATGCATAATACAACAGAGACATACAGACGTGTGGGATAAAGAGAATATATACATGGTGCTATTAGGAGACTAGAGGCCCTCGCTAAACTGGACCCTTGCAATTCTGCATGTATATTTTTTTGAATATGTAATGAGTAAGTTACGGGTTAATGTCACATTTTACGTCTAATCTAAATCGTAATCAGGGGGAGGTAAATTCAACACTGACCCTTCCATTGGCTTCCTTTGTCTCGCACTCGTCGAATCTTGCCCCCCAGTCATTGGCTAGTTCAGTATCGGCAAACTCTGCTGGTATTGGTGGAAGCACCTGAATGGCGCCTGGAGAAGCAGACGACAATTTTGGCGAATCTTTTTCTTTCGTAAACAAATACTCTCTACGAGACTCGTCGGGGGAGGGAATGACTATGTCTTCAGTGCGGGAACTTCTCTTCTCACGAAATGTGAATTCTTTGTCCGTGTTCACAGACGTTCTTTTAACACTCTCATTTCTTTGTATTTGGTCAGCTGACGTCACTGGACTTTCCTCACCAAGAGTCATCGTCGCATACTGGAAGAAATATTGGAGTTAGACTGTATTTTGCAAAGTGTCAATCACAGTATAATCTCCTTGCCTAATTGCAGATGTCATCCATACATTCTATTCGCCTGCTCGTACGAACACAACATATTCGTCATATTCCAAAACGCGAAACAAAAACTGCGTGGCCACATCTACCAGCCGAATCTTTAGACATCCGGAATGTCCTTTATTTGTTTCGGTGTCCAACTTAAGAACTCTTGGATGCAGACAGTTAACACTACTGATACTAATCAGTGTGGCTGCGATTTTCACACCAATCGTCGCCATTAGGTGAGGTTTCTTTAATAACGACGTCCCAACTACCAATATTAAATAATTGCCCCTGCATGCAAATCCTTGAATGAATATATAGTTCATCAGCCACTGCTTACCTGCTCCGGGTCAGATGTCACGTTGAATGTCGAATGATATATATATACTAAGCAGCAAAAGAAACGTCAGTTAGGAATTTTCCTTCGCAGAAACGGATAACTGTAAACTCATTTGATGTTTTGATTGTATATTTTTGACAACATCTCCAACTTTACCTGAGCAAAGACATTCCTTCCCAAACTCAGAATGGAACCCAGGAAATGGTCTCAAAAACGCAACCTGATCTCGGAGATGGTACGGTGTTCTCCATGTTTTTCATGCAACTCATGCTGCACGTGCTGTTCACAAGGACCAGCCCTATAAAATGCACCCCAAACCTGGTTGAAACATTCACATTACAACGTCAGCAGGATTCCGCGACTCACGACATTTCAGAGGAACCAGGCGTTAGGAAGACTTGAAGCTGGCCACACTGCACAAGCCGTTGCCAATCACTTCCAGGTCAACGTTAGGACCATCTACAGGCTGCAGCAACGTTTCTGGGCCACCAACACCACAAATGATCGCCCCCGTACTGGCAGACCAAGGGTGACCACAAGGCGACAACACCGCCATGTTGTGCGACAGCATGTACAGAATCCCTTCATGCAGGCATCCGAAACAGCACGCCAGACAGTGGGAAACAGCACTGATACAGTACGCCGACGTCTTAACAGCGGGAACCTCCATTGCTGTAGACCTTACCGTGGACCTATCCACACCCCTCGTCATCGGCGTGAACGTCTACAGTTTGCCCTACAACACCAAAACTGGCGATACAGGCAATGGAGAACTGTTCTGTTCACAGATGAGAGTCGGTACTGCGTATCAACTCCAGATGGCAGAACAAGGATATGGCGACGACGTGGCCAGCGTTAGCGTGGCCATGTGTTATGGAAAGAGACGCATGGGGAGGTGCAAGCATCATGGTATGGGGTGGAATAGGCCTGAACCAGAGAGTGGGTCCTGTGGTGTTCCAGAACCTTGGTCCAGGGAGAGGAGGCGGCATCACAGCGGTGCGCTACATCGACCAAGCTCTCAGACCCCACGTCATACCACATTTCGCACGTCACCGGAACAACATTTTCCAGCATGATAACGCCGGGTCCCATACTGCCAGAGCTACACGGGATTTCCTACAGCAGAACGGTGTCAACATTATGCAGTGGCCGGCCTTTAGTCCTGATTTAAACCCAATTGAACATCCTTGGGATGAAATTCAAAGGAGACTGAATAATGTCATACCAAGGCCGAACACAGCCGATTTATTGCGCCAGGCCTTTCTCAGAGTGTGGTTCAAGGTGCCAATGGCCTTCATCAATCGATTGGTGCACTCCATGCATAGACGCTGTTCTGCAGTTATTGCCGGTCGTGGTGGTCACACTAGATATTGAAGTCAAGGGTCTGAGTGGACTGCAAACGTTCACGTAATGCCTTGAAATTGTGCTGAGTTATTCATTGATGTCTCAAGATATTGTACACAACAATCCGCTTATAATGTCCATTTCTGCAATGATTTGATTACAGTGCCTATCATTCGTACTGACGGGTTTTTTTGGCTGCTGAGGATATTTCCAAAATCTACTTCACAAACATCAAGTTTCATATCTTCTATACTAAAGAGGATATTTTTATATATGCCATCGTAATTAACTGTTCAACATCACGATGAAGATATTCCATTTCAATAATGATATTCCTTGTCATATGATAAACACTCTTTATAAATACCATGTAAATACAGTACTTGTATACCTTGATATATAATTCTAAAACAGAATATAATGAAGTGACTAATGTTTCAAACATCAGGTGGGAACATACCGCTTCTCCTTGGCTTTTCTGCGCCCTGACAAAAAAAAGGATCAAAATAATTACTGTTACACGTTAACGGTTAGATATCCACCAGGCAGTGCCAGGTTGCATGAATAAAGATAGAATAGAAGCGACAAAACCCTTTCCACATTCATAAGAAATCTCTGCCAAAAGCAGAGTCGATTGTACAATTGTGACTATATCATGAGCAGATATTGTTTCAGCAGTATTACAGCTGTATGATGTTGTTTGTAAACAAATCGGGTCTAAACCAGACAATCCAGTGATTGTCACCATGCGATACGATGACAGGGCATGTATTTATGAATCACTATGAAATAGTGATGATACCAGGTGTTCGCGAAAAGGTGAGCGTATCCTGCCCCACTGGTGACATACACCAAGGAATCTCATGCCTGGCGATATGGACATACACTTGACTACTGATGTTTTCGAGCATTTTGTGACAATACATCGCTTCAACTAACCAATCAGCATTTAGAAATCGTTAAATACACATTTGAAATATTTAAACGTGATTACACGTGATCCCTTTACCTAATAGCTAGCTATAGTCTGCTTGCAGTGAAAACGTACCGGTGAATTGCACTTTAAACAAAAACGTAAATCGAATAAAGTGAAATTAAGATCGCGAATCCTCATAATTCTACCTTGCCAATTGAACATTTAGATCTTAGCTTTTTATTCAACTTATGAAAAAAGTTGTTTAACAAACGATCGTAGTTTCAAATCGCTTATATTGGTTTGTATTACAAGGGGGTAAGCGCAGTAGTTGGAACAGTGAAACAAATGCACGTGCGGTACGTGATGAGCGTGATCTTAGACCAACCCTACTTCATCTCGGTGTTTCATTTTATGTGCATACCCCCTTGTAATACAAACCAATAATGCCGATTTGAAACTATGATCGTTTGTTAAACAACTTTCATCCCAAGTTGAATAAACTTCTGAGATTTAAATTTTCAAATTAAAGGGAAAAGGTAAAAAATATGAGAATTCGCAATCTTAATTTCACTTTATTTGATTTACTTTTTTGTTTAAAGTGAAATTCATCGGTATGTTTTCACCGCAAACAGGCTATAAGCTGTGACTGTTTGAGTTGTTGGTATCTGTAGTGTTAACTGAGGTGCCGTATAATCTCAAGTTCTTTCTATACAAACTGTATGTAATAAGAAAAACGTTTTCTTGTAGTTGTTCCGATAATTCTCTGCTTACATATTTACCAGTATGAGTCGAACTATGTGTATTTTGTGATGATTGATTTCATTGATTTTTATTAAATCTATCGATTTGTTTACCCTCAGTTCGAAATGTGTGTATGGAGTTATCAGAGAAGCCTAACTGTTGGTTAGTGCATAGAGTAAACATGAGTGATTTAGGAGCCTGCAGATGAATATTTTATTGCAGCATTTCTGAAATATAAGATGTGGCAGCTTGACGTTTGCAATTAAAATATCGGATCCTGGTAGGGCTAATGAACTTAACTCTATATAGTCAGCTGCGGTGCCTCAGAATGCTTTGAAATCCGTCCCTGGATAAGTCTTAAACTGATCTGGAAATGTACTGAACTTACCATAAAGGTACCCTTTCATTCCGAAAACCTGAAAAGACAATATGATTGATTGGTGCGTGAATGAGTTAAGTTTTACGCCGCACTCAGCAATATTCCAGCTATAAGGCGGCGGTCTGAAAATAGACCAGACAATCCAGTGGTCAACAGCATGAACATGGATCTACGCAATTGGGATACGATGACATGTGTCAACCAAGTCAGCGAGCCTAACCACCCGATCCCGTTAATCGGTTACAAGCATGGGTTACTAAAGATCAAGTCTAACCCGGATCATATTCACGGGTCAATATGATTTATTAACACCCTGTGGAAATGCGTTCTCTTAAAATTAATATTTGGATTTTCAGGTAAAAGGTGTGTGAGTTAAAGGTCGCATTGGTATTAAGTTCAGACTGTCATACAGACCCTGAAACAAATACATGTATATCCTAGAAAGCCAATGCAAGTCTAATATATGTGGCAAGTCTAGGTTACCATAGTTTGCTGAAAATGAAGAAAGTCTCTGGGCTATTTTTCATTACGCTTATGATTAAAATTGAGGATTTAACCGTTTTTCTATAACATATGCTCGTTTCTGACACTGTACGTTAGTCGACTAATAGTTATATAGTTATATAGTTATATAGTAATATAGTTATATAGTTATATAGTTATATAGTAATAATTATATATGGGTTGCAGTTTAAAATACCCCACTCATACACAGTACACAAGCTCCGAATTGACCAACCTCTGTTCTATAGGGGAGACCGGGGTCAATTGTAACACTTTTTTACTTAACTTCTTGTAGTTCGATCCCAGACGACCGCTCACAAAGTTAATCGTTACTAACTAGTACATTGGCTTCTTGGCTTTAAACCTCAGTGTCGTTTCAAGTTCACTATCATGTCTTACAAAGTTATTACGTATCAAATGCAATGACTACAAGTGTTACAATTGACCCCTGGCACGGGGCAATTGTAACAGGTGGATGGGGCAATTGTAACAAAGAAGGTTCAAATGTAACAATTTGTTTATTTTCCAAATAAAATCAAAATAAAATGTGGAAAGATGTTATCTTGATCAGTTGAGGTTGAAATGGATTAACAATAAACCTTTATCACCACCGACATTTAAAATGTTTTTTCGTTTAAATTTCATGTATTGGTATGCCCAAAAAATAATACAAAGACTTACACCAAAAACGTTCACCCGAGGCTAATACTATCAACATAACACTGAAAATGTTCTACTATGATAAACCTAGTAAAGCACTAACATTAAACCTTCATCATAATTTGCTTTATTATCATAACATAAGGGAAAATTACATGGGGGCAATTGTAACACAGTGTTACAATTGCCCCTGATGGCAGTAGCCATATTTCATGCCACGTCACACGTTAACAACTTTGGGCATCTCAAATATTTCTACTTCCAAATATGTCGTAATATCTAAATTTTACACTTGAAAAGTTAATTTCATACCAAACACCATTTACTGCATTAAGAACGGTTTAATACGTTTTGTGAAAAATTTACTTACCTATGTGAAAAATGATTTTTCGTCAACTGTATCTCGCCATAAGCGAGCAGATGAAAAACGCCTGGATGAGTACCGCAGGAAAGTAAAGGGAAATAACTCTACTCACCTACACTATGCTTGAGCGAAAACGTTTAGAGTAATCGCCCTTGTTACAATTGACCCGTGTTACAATTGACCCCGGTCTCCCCTACCCTTAATTCCCCCAAAGACGTTAAATATGGTACTTGTTGGTCCCTGCCTGACGCTCGGCATTAATGGGTACAAGGACTGGTCGACTCGGAGTCAGTATAATTTGTCTGAGTGGGGTATTCATGCTTCACTGCGGCATGGTATCTCAGTGGGCTAGCACTATAACACCAGCTTCAGTCTGGGCAAAGGCAGAGTGACAACAAGTACCTTCTTTTATCGGACCCAACCCGACATTGACCTTCCGCGCTCTGGCAGGACGCTCGAGACATCTCAGAGGGAGAGTGTTAACAATATCGCGACGAGAACAAGTCACTGCTTTTAAAAAATGCCATCATACATCGAAATAATATTTAAACAACATGTTAACCATAAAAAAAACCCACAAAAGTTCCTACCTCTAGGTTGTGCGACATCGTATACAGCTGTTTCCGGTTGAGAGTAGGGCCCGTTGTAAGTGTGTGCTCTCACTGTAATGCTGGTGCCGTCTTGTTTCAGGGAGGATGCAGGGGCCCTCTCCTCGATATACCGCGGTCTGTAGGACGCCATGTGGCGGGTGGGCATGGTAGGGAACTGGTAAAGGTCCCGCATGGGTGGGGCTAACGGGTAGGGCATCGCGCGGGCAACTGTGGGGATAGAGCCGTTACGAACGCTGCCATTGATGAGTGGATCTTCCTGGCTGGCTTTGTCAGAAAATCCTCGACATCTCCTACTGAAAGACAAAATCTTAGCTCACTGTCATATATTTGTACAATTATCTTATTTACAAAAGTGTTCAATCAATTATCAATTAAACAGCTATAAAACAAACTTCTATTAACATACTAATACTTCCAGCTCAGCTGCTCAAAGGCATTGGGTATCCCTCGATCATTGGTTGTCAATCTCAACGGCACATCGTATTTGTCAATCTCAACACCCTGGGGATCATACAACTCTTGCAGCCATTTAGGCGCCCCAAGTTAATGTGACCTTCCCATCCTTACGAGGTACCCATTCACAGCTGGGTGGACAGGGACACATAGTCACAGTTTTGTGAGTTCTTTTAAGTGCACAGAGTTGTGTACTGTACAAAACACAAAGCGACAGAGAGTGAGAGGAGAGAGAGAGAGGGAGAGAGGGGGGAGGGAGGGAGAGATTGAGAGGAGGGAAGAGTGAGATTGAGAGCGGCTAAGATGAAGTGAGGGAGAGAGAGATGCGAGATTGAAAGAGGAGTGGAAGAAGGAGAGGGGGGGGAAGAAAGAGAGGGGGAGTGGCAGAGAGAAAACAGAGCGGCTAAGATTAAGGGAGGGAGAGAGAAAGAGACGAGAGTGTGAGAGAGAGAGAGAAAGAGAGAGTGAGAGAAAGAGAGAGACTCCTACCTGAAGGTATAGTAGAGAGCGACGATGGTGATGATTAACATGATGCAGCATATGATGCTGGCGGCCACCACTCCTCCCAGAGTATCCTCCATCTTCACGTGGTACACCGGCACACCTGGAATATAGGACTTCTTACACAGGCAATGGCGGACATGGTTGATACATGTTGATAAATAACGGATATAGTTGGTGCCAGGTGATGCGGATGTTTAGATACCATCATCCATCTAAGCGGCCCGGATGTGCATATACCACCATGCATGCGACAAGTGACCCGGATGTTTAGATACCATCATGCATATGCCAAGTGACCCGGGTGTTGAGAAGCCATCATGAAAAACGTCAAGTGACCCGGATGTCTAGATTCTATCTTGAATATGGCAAGTGATTCAGATATTCAGATTCTATCATGCATACATAAAGTCCCCCCGAATGTTTAGACAACATCGTGTGTGTAAGTGTTCAAATGTCAATACCCTATCACGTACACTGTACGTGTTGTTAGAGGCGATTTCACATTGCTCCAATAACTGTCTTCCCATCTGTGAGTGAACCCGGGATTTGACGTCAGCGATCTGATTTAGTGGATATGAGTCAGTGTGTTTCTTCTTAAGTGTATCCCAAACATCTTGTAATTGTAAAGAATTAAAGGAGAAAGGAATCATTTCGTTTGTTGTTTAACGTCGCACTCAGCAATATTCTATATATATTGCAGCGGTCTGTAAATAATCGAGTCTGGACCAGACAATCCAGTGATCAACAGCGTGAGCATCAATCAACGCAACTGGGATACGATGACATGTGTCAACCAAGTCAGCGAGCCTGACCACCTGATCCCGTTAGTCGCCTCTTGCGACAACAATGGGTTGCTGAAGACCAATTCTAACCCGGATCTTCACGGGTAGACAGAATCGGAAAGATAGGACGTAGGCGTAGCAATTTGTGTGAATGGTGATGTTAACGTTGATATGCACATGGCTGAGGTTGTGAAATGAGAGTGAGTGTTGACTTGGATGTGGATATTGGTGTTGGATCTGGGGGGTCAAGTTATGGTTTCGGGTTGCCTTGGTTCTTGGACGGAATTCCGCAGTCATGGTTCATGTATTGAGTAAGGGTCTTCATCTGGGTTCTATGGTCTCGGTTTGGTTTGAGGATTTGGGATTTTGGGTCTTTGCCTTTTGGTATTGTTGTCTGCGATCTGGGTTTTCTTCCCTTGATTCTGTACTGGAATTAGGGTTCTGTTATCTGCGATCAAGGTCAGGAGTTTTGGTTCTGGGATCTAATACTTTGGGTCTTGGCCTGGGTTGAGATCTGAGATCTAATACTTTGGGTCTTGGCCTTGGTTGAGTTCTGAGATCTAGAACCTTAGGGCTTGGCCTGGGTTGGGTTCTGGAATCTAAAACTTTGGGTCTTGTCCTGGGTTGGGTTCTGGGATCTAATACTCTGGGTCTTGGCCTGAGCTGGGTTCTGGGATCTACAACTTTGGGTGTTGGTCTGAGTTGGGTTCTGGGATCTAAAACTTTGGGTTTTGGCCTGGGTTGGGTTCTGGGGATCTACAACTGGGTATAAATTTAGTTCAGAATCTGGAACCTAGGATCGTGGCATGGGATATATGATTTCATGGAGTGGAATAGGTTGTGGAATCTGGGTTATTTATATTTTCGGCATGGGTTTGGTTCTAGGATCTGCTATCTGGGATTTTGGAGTGGGTTTTGTACTAGGGTCTGGATCGTTGGCCTGGGCTTGGATCTGACATATAAAAATAGAAGCGGTAGTTCAAAATGTACAGAAACCTACGTGACATGGCGGAGTTATATAGTCTTGCTTCTGATGATAGAGTCGAGTAATGTAGGGTTCACACCTGAAAGGGGCGAGGTTGATATGCAGTTTCTTTTCAGAATATAAACTTAATGCGAATTCTCCGAAACAGAAACGCCATAACCAGAGCATAAATGTTAAGATGAATAGATTTCATTCCCAGTTGGTTTCTTGATACACGTGGATACAATGCAGCTATTCACACAGACTGGATCCACGCTCCAGTTGCCCCGTCTTGGTTGTAGGATACATTTTGCACCATGCTTTTTATCCCATATGAAGCGGCTTTACAGCGACGATGAACAAAAGATATGGGGAACGGCAACACTAGGCTTCGGAATGTAGTTTAGGTGCATACTTCTACAGGTCTACCGGCGACCTTTACTCCACATTGGACATGACGGTTGACCTGTTTAATACTTTTAATTTTCATATTTTTATAGCCATGGTCATCGTCTTAATTAATATCACTGTGTGTTTGTGATCCCCAAGGTCAGGTGAAGATCCGGGTTAGAATTGATCTTCAGCAACCCATGCTTGTCACAGTCGTAAGAGGCGACTAACGGGATCGGCTGGTCAGGCTCGCTGACTTGGTTGACACATGTCATCGAATACTATTTGCGTAGATCGATGCTCATGTTGTTGATGACTGGATTGTCTGGTCCAGACTCGATTATTAACAGACCGCCGCCATATAGCTGGAATATTGCTGTGAGCGGCGTAAAACTAACCTCATTCATGTTTGATATTTTGATGTTTTGTTTGTTTTGTATATTTGTTTGTTTGTTTAGTCTGCTATCGAACTTGAGCTACAGAACCAGACAATCGCGTGATCCATGTTATGAGCAACAATCGACATGGACGGTGTACGTGTACACCGCGTCAAGCTTGACAACCTGATCACTTTGGCCGCCTCTTCGGAGGTTGCTTTGGCGTCAACTTAACCTGGAATCCATCGGGGATGAGGAGTGGATCATTCATAAACTTTGTTATAAAACTGCAATGAAATATCTGATGCAAGTTACAGTTCTAATATTATTTTTTTAAAACAACTGTTTATTGTTTGTGAACCCGAACTATAATTTAAGTTCAGGACTTTAAAATAAGGGCGAGTCCACGTCAACAACTCTATCTGGCGCTAGCAAGCCATTTTTTTCGTGTAAGATCGATAGGTTGCAAAGCTTTATATTTAGATAGTATTGAGAGCTTGCCCAACTTTTTTAGCAACAATCATGTGTAAGCCCCGGCTTTTTTTATAATGGTAGCTACGTCCCTGTCTAATTTTCTCGACCTAAGGACACATTTCCTTGCTATTGCATGATTATATTGCTAAAAGCTTTATAAAATCACTCACTAACTTATTCGACCTTGATACTTCATGTATACGAGGTTTCATTACATATTAAAAAGTATCATAATATCATGTTTATTCATTATGTCTTGAAAATACACTTTACACGTATTAAAATAAAAAGAAGTAAAACTTCAAGGGAAACAATACCCATACTGCTCAATCCACCGACAATAAACCTACGTACATAACGCAAATTCTTGGGAGTTTTTCTGTTGTTACTAGAAATATCTACGTCTTGTCATGTAGGTATTGTTACGAATGTCAAGGTTGTACGTGGACACTCTATCACTCCTATCACCCCTACAGGCTAGGGCTCCCTCACCCATCTTTCTTCCTGCCCGATACAGAGGGTGATGAATGATATCATATGGAGGCAGACACGGGAGAACACGCCGACCTTGGAACGTCACACAGTCATGTTTGGTTGTGGGTCTGTCTGTTCATTACGGGAGCATCGGCGTAGTGGTTAAAGAGTTCGCTTGTCACGCCGAAGACCCGGGTTCTTGTTTGACATTGTATGATGCTGTTGTTAATTATCCATGTTTAATCACTATTCGTAAGATCACCTTGGAAATATAAGATCTATATTTCTGTAATGTAGTGTAGAGAGAAAAAAACAGCGAAGCCTACGAGTGCAATATAAATTCTTCATATTCATACTTGAATCAGTGAGTGAGAGAGTGAGTATGTTTTTCACACTGTTATAAAAAGTTCAGCACGTGAGGAATAGAGTCCGATCTTGAGTGACGAAAGCCTTACCCACTTGCCTAACCCGTTGTGTCTCTGTGGTATGTCACTATCAAGAAAGTCTATGGTAAAATTTTACTGCTTGACGGGAGACACCAATAGGTTGAGAATAGAACCAAGATGTGGTGCGAGACGATCGAACGCACTAACCACTGGGCTACCTCATTGTTCGTTACCGCTTGAGTCACTTTAGTGATTCACTGTTTGCCCGGTGGCAGATATCATGTCAATAGCACACTTCCATTATGTCGATTTCAAGCTGTCGTGCAGAACGTCAATCACAACGCGGGAGATTGACAGGACCCGGAAGTTGAACACACCTTTCGTTTGAGACGGCAATTAGTACTGAATAGTTAAACAGATGGAGTATTATGATGTCACCGATGCCATAGCAACAACACAGTGTGAAAACGTACCGTATACACAAACCGTGAAACCCGACAGTATGATTCCCGTCCAATCTTAGGTCAAGGTCATTCTGTTACTGCCTCATTGGTACAATAGATACAGCGCATGCCCAGAGAGCGGAAAGTCAGCAGTCCAACCCCATCTGACCAAAAGAAGTTAAAAGAACACCAAGAACATTATACGACGCCTGAGTGGGTTGGATTCAGCATGCTGTGTCTGAGTAGGTTATTAACTGCGCACAGTGCGCACACACGTGCATGTGCAGGTGACTATAACAGTGCAAAACACAACTAAACGCAACGTTTACCGTATTCCACATCACGTCACCTTGCATCTAAACATGCATGTATTCAGAAGTTTGCAAAAACGAGGTTTTTCCATGCAGACGGGATGAGAACTGCGTCGTTTCATTGTGGTAAAACCATTACGTCAGGCCGCGGAGACATGATATCAGGAAGTTATGTAAAAAACGAATGCACAGACATAATGTATGCATTGATATATGCAATCCCATAAAGCATTCTTTCACACTACAGAATTCAAGCCAATGGATCAGCATGCACAATGTACATTATTAGGTTCGGCCTGGTATGTTTACAGCCGAAACCTATTCGTTGTTAGGTATATATTTGGAGCAAGGTCAGTTGCCTAAGCAGACAGCCCTGTTTAATAACATGCATACTCCCTAGGGATTTGGGAATGGAATTCATTTCTTGGTGTCCCCCGCCGTGATATTGCTGGAAAATTGCTAAAAGCGGTGTAAAACTAAACTCACTCACTCGAGTGCA